AGAAGAGATCTAACACAAGTAGATGAGAGTAACCCAAACAAGGAGAAAGATGCAAAAAGGGAAAGAGATCAAGAGAAGGAGCTACCCAATTGAGGAAGAGAATAATCCAACATTCCATATCCAAGGAAATTGAAGCAACAACAAAAGGATAAGCAATTTGGTAAATTTTTTGATATTTTTAAACAATTGCATATTAACATTCCTTTAGTTGAAGCTTTTAAACAGATACCTACCTATGCAAAGTTCCTAAAGGAGATTCTCAAAAATAAGAGAAAGTTAGAAGACGTGGCCATGATGATGTTTAACAAAGAATGCTTAGTTATTCTATAAAACAAGATACCACAAAAGTTGAAGGATCCAAGTAAGTTTATTATTCCATGTGAATTATGTGATCTTTTAATTGAAAAAATATTATGTGATTTACGAGCTAACATTTATTTGATGTCATATGATATTTATAAGAAGCTAGGATTAGGAGAACCTAAGCCTACTAGGATTACTTTGTAACTATAAGATAGGTCTATCAAAATTCTGGTTAGAATAATAGAAAATGTGCGAGTTAAGGTTGATAAGTTTATATTTCTAGTAGACTTTGTGATCTTAGATATGTAAAAGGATTTTGAGATACCAATTATCCTAGGAAGATTATTTCTAGCAACTGCTAGAGCTTTAATCGATGTTCATGATGGTAAATTGACTCTTAAGTTATTTAATGAGAAAATTACTTTTTATATGTCTGAATCCATAAAATACGTACATACTTCAGATAATACTTGTATCATGATTGATACACTTGATCCAGTCATGCAAGATGTGCTTTAGAAAAATTACTTTAAAGATGCATTAGAACAAGGTACCATAAATGGAGAAAGGAGTGACACGAGGAATGAAAAATTCAAGGAGCAAGTAGTTTTACTAGAAGGGAGACCTCAGTTTAATGCACCAAAAAACTTCAGATTTGAAGAGATTTATAGCTCTAGTAAAGAGAAAGACAAACCATCAACTAAGGAACCACCAGATAAGTTAAAATCAAAGTGGTGGGGTCACATGGATAGGGGTGGGCCTAATTCTCCCTAGGCTGATATAAGAGCAGGTTCTAGCTTAAGTTCCACCATAGAGGAGAGATTAAAGCAACTTAGTGTAGGACAATAAAGAATTGAAGAATGCCCAAAGGAAAATAGAGCATTATATGATGACATACTTTCAACATATAGGATTTCAGCCCCCACCATATCCACTTCAGATAATTAGTTTAACTTTTGCATTTTCTTTCTTTTTATTATTATTATTCAGTTTATCTTTATATTTTATATATTTTTTAATTTCCTTCTATCCTTTACCACTAACTTATTTGCTTAGTTTTTCTTTAGTATTTGTCAGTTTGTTTTTAGATTTTTAGTGAACATACCAAGGCTGCAGTGGATAACACTACTCCTTCAAAGTTTTAGGAAAGTTTAATTTCTTTTGCTTTCATTGTCTTTTATTGTTCTATTTTTGCAAACTATGGGGACATAATATTTAAGTGTGGGAGAGTGGTATTTTAATTCTTTATGTTTGCTATTATCCTCTCAATCTTAATGAAGTTCCATAGTTTGACCTTGGTGTGTCCTGTTGTATCATGACTACCTATGATGATAATTGTAGCATCGAATCTATATATACTATGACATGATTGTTTGAGGAAATAGTTTAGCAATGAAAGTATTTGACCTTATTTAGTTTATTCATGTTTTAAAAGTTTATTATCTTCTACATCATTTGAGTTGTGAAATTTATTTTTTTGTCTAAACTGAATAATTCTTTACATAAGAAAACGCATGTTGGTATAGAATTAGATACATATATATATATATATATGCAAAATGAAAAAAAAAATAATAATAAGCACCAAAATAAAATACTCTGCTGATCACGTGGGAATAATAATACCGTATAATAAGTGATCAAGAGTAAAGTAGTAGCCATTCAGAAGTGTGACCAACTGAGTAACTAGAGGCTGACATCACAAATGTCTGCACTTGCGTAAAAAGTTTGACTGACATTCTGGATAAAAAAGATGCTAAATAAAATAAAATACTTTGCTGATCACGTGGGAATGATAATACCGTATAGTAAGTGATCAAGAGTAGAGCTAGTAGCCATTCGACAATGTGACCAACTGAGTAATCAAGGGCTGGCATCACAAATGCCTGCATTCGCGTAAAAAAGTTGACCAACATTCTGGACAAAAAAAGTGCTAAATAAATAAATAAATAAAACTAAAGTTGCATGTATAGCTATTGTTTAGCCAATTGAGCTTGATTATGTTTTGGGTTATAAAGTTTAGATATTGTGAATGATTAAATGACTCATGGAATGTTTTAAATACTTCATTTCTAAGAATAAGATAGGATTAAATGTGATTTATATTCTGAAGTTGCTGAATTGTTTTTCATAGATGATTGTGTCTTTGTACATATTATTTTGTGTTATCCTGAAGTAGTATAGTCTTGATGAGAAGGATTTCATTAATGGTTTTGCTGTGGAATGGATTTAAGATTGCTTGAGGACAAGTAAAAACTCAAGTGTGGGGGAGTTGATATAATTAAATTATACATATATTTTCCTATTTCATTCGAGTTGATTTTGATTGATTTTTGCTGCATATATTGTTGAATTATTCTTGGCACTTTTCAGGAATGATTATGAGACTTGGAAACAAATTGGAGTGGATTGGAGAAAGATTGGGCTAAAAATGGTTGAAATATGAAGATATGGGAGACATGACCATAACAAATAACCATGTGTTAAGAAGCTAGTGTTTTTGTTTCTGATGAGTGAGACACGATCATGTGATTGAAGACACAACCATGTGCTTTATATTGGGTTAACACACAACCATGTGTCAAGAAGCTAGCATTTCTATTTCGTTCAATGAAAGAGACATGACCGTGTGCTTGGGAGACACGGTTGTGTCGTGTCTATAAGCTGAAAACTAATGTGATTCCAAGGAAGTCGTGTGTCAATTCTACACGGCTATGGGACATGCGAGATCAGATTTGGACTATGTCAAAATATTAGGTTTTGAACTAGATAAAGAGAGTATTATCTAAAAGAGGAGGGAGCAGAGGAGGAGAAAAAGAGAAAGATGGCGACAGACAAAAGAGTTTCTTCTCGAGGGTTTATTTTAAATCACTTTATGAATTATTTTATGTGTTCTTTAGATTTGTTTCTTGCAGTTTTCTTTAGGATGAGTAACTAAGCTCTTCTATTAGAATCTTTGAAGAAACTCTAAGGGATACTTTGTGATTTCCTTATTTAATTTATAAAAGTCTTTTTTTCCAATCCTTACGTGTTATTTTGTGCTTTAATGCATAAATAGAATAATTACCTATTTGTTGATTTGTGATGAATGATTGAATTGAGAGATTGATTATTCATTAGAATATCAAGTTAGCACAATAGATTGAACGTGAATAGAAATACTTAGCATAATTTTTGTATTTGATGATTGAATATTAATGTACCGATTCATATTGATCCATAGAGATGTGTGTATTATTATAAATTAGGTAGGATAATTGATATTGAGAAAGAGATTATTACATGATTGGATGAAATTGGATAAAAGTTTCTTTTTATAGATTAAATTAAAGAAAGTTACAATTGAACTTATGGTAGATTCTTAGATTTTAACAGTTATTATGTCTCAATTGTTAATCAGTTTAATTCATTACTTTCTTAACTAATTATTAGTTTATATTCATCTTTTTAATCGTTAATCAAATAGTATAAATCAGTTGAGATTATAATATTTGTTATATTAGTTTTCGTGGGACAATATCCGAATTCACCGCTATAGTACATACTCGAACTAGTGTATTTATTAGGTGAGTTCAATTCACAACAATATGTCTCATCAACTAAAAATAATCCCTAATGGACGAGCTAGATATGATTAAAAGCGTTAAAAATACAATATATATCATGTGTATCTTATTAACTAGACATGATTAAAGTACAATATATATTAATGTGTCAAGGTATTACTAGCATTGCCGATATAATTACCAATGTGATATACTCATGGATGAAATTTATCCATCTATCTTGGATTTTAAACTCACTTACAATATTCACAATAAAATCCCACTTTAAGTTACCATAAACATTCTCTAAATATACATCCATAGATATAATCTCTTTTTTCTTTCTTTGGCACCTCACATAATATATCATTTATAGGAAATAATAACTTTTTCACTAGTTTCTCTTCAAATAAAACTATTAGATTTGGAGTCACAAGACTCCCCAAGATGGTCTTCAACATGTTCACAATAATTTTGTTTGTGAGCTTGTACGATATTACACAAAGCATAAATGTCACATCTAAGATAACTTCTTTAGGACCGGGAAAAGCAGTACACTTATTTTATGGGCATTTAACTACTTTAGTACTCTAATTTGGGAAATGTTATAATTTAGTTCTAAAAATAGTGTACAATTTAGTTTTTGATTGTCACATATTTTCTTTATATTTGCTTTTATGTTTCTATAGAATGTGTTTTATGTAAATAATTTCAATATTTAAAATTTCATGCTTTTTGGGTGATTTTGTATATTAAGTTGGTATCTTGAAGATGTTTTTGATCAAAACAAAGGCAAAGTAATTGTAATATGGTAACCCAATTAGGTAAAATTATATGCTAAGATAATCCATAGTTTGTTATTGTTCACACAAAATTTATATACAAACCTCTCAATGCCCCAATTGATTTAACATTGTATCTCTCCAAAGCATAAACTAATTAATTAGCATCATTACCAACAACTCTTAACAAGATGAGCAAGCGGAGCAAGTAGTATGAGACACCTCCAATAGTAGCATATTGTAGCTTTTCATTCCCTTCAACCTCTAAAAAATCACCATCTGTGCATCGACTAAATCCTCCAACTAGCCATCCCAAGTTCTTGTACCCTTGTTCATGCAACTTCGAAATTGCCATCATTGACCTAATCATATCAATAAATACTGATCATCATATTAGAATATTTATATAAAGAATATTAAAAGTTGTCACCTGAGTCCTTCACCGCATGCCACAAGTAGCTTAGAATTTTTATCTGGAACAATAGCCTCCATTTGCGCGAGAAAATTAGGATTGAAGGTGGTAAACTTTTGGCCAGTCCATAGCCCAATGTACCCGAAATGAACCCACTTTTTCAACAGAGTTATGGGAGAGTTATCGGTGTCGTTGACAAACAGTGGCACGTGGAGTGAGTCTTTCACATAAGCTTTTTGCTTCTCCCACATTGGCCTAACATCCAGGAGCCTGAATCCCTCAGAATTCATGATGGTCGTGGCCTCCTTTGGTGTTATAGGTCGTACTATGTCTGACTGTATTAGTTGTCGGCCATTAGTGTTGACAGACACTGCAAGTGTTTTTGGTGGTGGGAGTTCGACAGTTGTGAAAATCGATGAGTTTGATTGTTTTTGTTGCTTCCAAGTTAAACCTGCACAGATGGTTGAATGACCAAGTTTAGTGAAAAATATTAAAAAAGAAAAATAGGTTCATCGAGGGAGATTGAAGAAGTTAATAACTATTTTTTGTTGTAAGAGTTCGAAATGGTGGATTGTTTATGCATTTAGTTAACATATATGCCAGTTGAGAATTAATGGGCATGTATGGAATATATATTAGGTAGTTGTCAAATTTTTTTTTTATAAAATGTCAGTTGCTTCCAATGAAGATACAATAGCTTTTAATGGATATTCTATCTATAGCTAACTCTACATAAGTTGCATCAGTGTAAATTTTTAGAAGCAATTTGTCATTTTTTTTCTAAATATAATTTATTTCTCTAGTGATCCTTTAAATATTTTAGTATTCTATAGATTGCTTATAGGTGTACTTCTTTCGAATTATGCATAAATTGGCTTATAACACTTATTATATAAATGATGTTTGGTCTCATGCGGGATAGGTAGATTAATCTCCAACTAATCTCTGGTACATTTTTTTGTTTACTGTCATATCTTTATTTACTTTTGTTAAAAAAAATTATAACAGGTACCAAACATCTTAAAAAGTGTTGTAGAGTGCTCTTTGCAAGCTTCATCTTTAACTGGATATGTTGAGAAGTAATTCATCAAGAAAAGAGAAGCACATATGGAAGTAAGAGGTCTTGATTCTTTTTTATCGGGACACAACCCTTGTCTCACGTCAGGATCCCTAGGCTCATTTTCTACCATGTGAGGAATTTTGTATCTAATTTTTCCAGGTAGTCTATTGATAATGGAATGAAGATCAGATTTTGGAAAGATGTTTGGATTGGACATGATTCATTGCAGAATACGTTTATCAGTATTTATGCTACTTCTAGGGAGAAAAATGTCCTCATTGCCCATATTCTAGGGACATAATCAATTAGGGATTAGAACTTGGCCCTATAAAGGAATCTTCAAGACTAGGAGATGGAAGAGTTCCTAAACTTGGTTCAGATTTTGTCCACCACCAAATTGAACAACAATGAGGATAAATTAATTTGGAATTTGAACAAAAACGAAACTTTCTCGGTTAAATCTCTCTATTCCCAGTTGGCTGAGCATAATTGTCAAAAGTTTCCAGCCAATATTGTTTGGAAATCTAAGGTCCCACCTAGAATCTCCTTTTTTACTCGGGAAGCAACTAGAGAATGCATTTTAACTTTGGATAATCTTCAAAGGAGAGGTATCACTATGGTCAATAGATGCTTTTTTTGTAAAACTGATGTGGAAACATACTCACACCTGCTACTTTGCTGCCCCTTCTCTCAATCTCTCTGGTCACTGGTTTTAAACATCATGAATTTGTCCTGAGTTACTGCCGGTTTTGTTAAGGCTCAACTTTTTGCTTGGGAAGGCCTATGCAAGAGAAAAGTTAATCATCAATCATTCATTTGATTATCTTTTGGATTATTTGGAAAGAAAGGAACAATAGAGCTTTTTATGGTAAAAAATCAGATTTTGTCGCTATCAGGATAAATGGGTTGCACTTTTTTGAGTATATTATTCTTGGGCACAACCTTGATAGTATGTTGATTTACTTATATTGTAGATACTCTTACTGATCTGTAATCTTNNNTGAGATTCCCGCCAATTCGCTGTCCAATCAGGTATCCCTGGATATCTTCCAAAAAATTGTATATCACAAACTTCAAACATCTAGGTACATCCAACAATGCTAAAACGATATTTGGATTTTCATTAAAATTTCTGTATGTATAAAAAAAGCTTCATCAGATTAGAGATCCAAACAAAAAAAAGAACATTTATAAACAACTAGTGTGCAATCTTATCTATATCCTCCTCCACCCCCTCAAAACCCCCATATTTCTTTCTTCCCATACAACCTAAAAGATAGCAAGGGGAGTGAGTGCGACATGTTATTTCCCACCATAAATACCCCTCCAAGCCCATATCTCATACTTTACCGTGTTAGCCATAACCCAACTAATCCTACGGAACCCATAAACAATGATCTAAAGGTTGTGGGCAATCATACACCAAGCAAAATATGATTATAAGTCTCCTCATCTCCCGTACAAAGGTAGTGATCATTTACCATGATCTTGCTTTCCTCATTAGCTTATCGATAATGAGAATGTTACCTTGCCTAACCTCCCAAGTAAAAACGGCCAGTCTTGGAAAGGCATTAACGTTTCAGATTTGTCGAAGAACTTCATCTTAATGAGGTTAATGTTGGTTAGAAGATTATAGAATGACTTAATGGTGAAAATCCTGTATTTAATGAGTCTCTAAACCGATTGATCTTCATTCTCATTCAAGGATATTGAAACAAGTGAATTCGGGAGAGTTATATATTCATCTACTTCCCAATAGTTGAGGTTCCTTATTACTTTCACATACCATTCCCTAGTTCCTCCATTACTTTTGAATGATTCATAGACAGAAATATCTTTGTGTCGTCTAATTGCAAAAATTTGGGAAAACTTGTTGCCTAGCACTTCCTCCTTAAGTGAATAGTCCTTCCAAAAGCTTGTTCTCCTCCAATTGCCAATGTTCCACCTGATGCATCCCTAAAACTTACGTCTTCCCATACTTATTCCTTTCCAGACCCTTTTTTGCGATCTTGACACCTCTCTCAAATATCAACCTCGATTTGTTGTACCAAATTTCACATCTATCACCCTCTTCCATATAATGCTATTTTCCACCACGAACCGCTAGATTTGCTTTCTTAGAAGGGCCTAGTTCATTTTTATTACCAATCTCAAACCCAGATTACCCTGATGTAACGGTCTTTTCACCTTTTCCCATGCCACCAAATGGTACTTTTTTTTATCTTTAAAGTCACTCCAAAAAATGTGCATTTGATTGCTTCCATTCTCTTGGCAATACTCACAAGGATAATCAAAAGGGACATGTAGTAAACAAAAAAATTAGCCATAGTGCTTTTGATGAGAGTTAAACGCCCATCTTTAGACAGTAGATTCCTTTTTCACCCTATAAGTCTCATCTCAAATCTATCCACATTTGGATCTTACATCCTCACGTCGTCATAATTTGCTTTTAACACCAAAGCTAAGTACTTAATTGGAAACTCAACCATTTTACACCCTAAGATGTTAGTCAAGTAACAATCATCTCCCCTTTCTCCCAGCCTTACCAATTCTAACTTTGCAAGATTGATGCTAAGGCCAGAAACCTCTTGGAAATACAAAAGAACACATTTGAGGTTGAGAAGTGCACATAAATCCGATTCGTAAAACACTAAGGTGTCATCTACAAAAAATAAATGGATCACCTTCTTAACTTTATCTCCATATCTCATTTTAAGTCCTCTAAGTAAACTGAGCTCCCTGGCTCTCAGCAATAACTTATTCAAAGGTTCTATGCAATTATGAATAGTTGAGGAGATAATAGATCTTTGTTTGATGCCTCTAGATGCCTTGAAAAAAAATGGACTTCATTCACCATAATGCGAAACATGTAATAGTGATACAAGAGTTGATCTACTTATGCCATTTATCTCCAGAGCCTAATTTCTTCGACATACAGATAATATGTTTTCTTCATATCATGCTTGCATAAGACCTCTTCTCTTTTTCGAAAAAGCAAATCATCAACCACCTTATTAGCCTGTGGAACCCATCTATAATTTATCTTCCTTCCAAGGATGCATGTTAACATTCAAAAATTACTTTATCCATCACCTTTGCCATCCTTCTAGCTAACACCTTTGAGATAAGTTTATATACACACCCAACCAGGCAATAATCAGTACCAAGAATGAATAATTTAAGCTTTGACGAATAACCCTGAGCCATGTAGTTCTTTAAATTACTCTAGAATCTCCTTTATATAATATGCCAAAATTTCTACAAGAAACCCATATTAAGTCTATCAGGTCTAGGAGCTTGATCCTTATTACAATGCATGGGTCCTTTTAAAACTTCTTCTTCAGTGGACTCTCTTTCAAATGAAACATGACTCTCTTTCAAATGAAACACGACTCTCCTCATCCAAGGAACTGAATTGATACTATTCAACTTTGGCTTCCAATTACACTCCTCTTCGTATAAGTTGGAGAAATATCTTTCGCCCCTTGTTTTAAACTCTCGTTATCCTTTACCAACATGTCTTGGATCACCATTTCCTCCACAAAATTGCTTCTCCTATACTGATTAGCAATGCAATGAAAGAACTTTGTGTTTCTATACCTCTCCTTGATCCACCTAGCTCTTTATTTTTGTCGCCATGCTATTTCCTCCTTTTGAAGATAAAAAGCCAATTCTAATTTCAATAAGCCCTTGCAAGCCAGATCCTCCATATACAACACATTTTCACCTTCCAATTTATCAAGTGTCTCAATGCCCTAGAAGAAAAGTTGTGAGTGTATCACTTCTTTTTACTTATTTTCTTTACACCATCTCTTAATTGGATTTTACTACCTTTAATTTTTGAGTAATTCTAAAGTTAACATTTCATCTCGTTGTAAATCCTCTCCACCAATACTCAATCTTGGCACAAAAATCATTCTCTTTAAGCCATTTATCCTTAAATTTGGACATGAGCTCTATTTGATCGCCTTAAAATTTTTTACAAATACTTGAAACTTGAAATTGGTAAGGAACAAATATTAGGAATCTGTCTCGTGAACACGTTGGATTATGTCTATGACATGTCTAAGTCTCATTTACCCCCCACAAGGGGTAAATCCACTAAATTGAGTCTATCTATTGTCCCCCTTAAATTCATCAGCATAAGCTATGGAGGAATTTTCTCAATTGATTTCATGTCTATATAAAATCATGTTGAAATCTCCACCCATGACCCAGGAAAATCTCCATTTTTGTTTACATTCTTCTAAAGCCCGCCAAAGTAAATCCCTCTCCCTTCGTTCTCTTCTTTTGTAGACTATAATAAACACCCATTTCATCCTATTACTATGTCTATAAACATAGAAGATAATGAGCACTCCTCACCAAAATCTTCTCAAATATGAAAGACT